CGACGTCTACCTGCCATCACCCCATGCCTGAAAAATATACACCCACCTATAACAAACCAAGTTCCGCTATATAGGTCGCTTCGGTACGGACATGTGTGGTCAATCCACGTCTCAGTTTTTACCCAAAAGGGTTTCTGAAGGGATGTATAATCAATTACGCCCGGTACACATCTTCCGCGATATCATTTAAAACAATGAAACTAAGTTTTAGTGGCTACATCACTAGGTGCTTAATAAATCCCTTTTTTCAAAATTACCGGTATCCGCGCTGCACCTGGAGACTCGTTGAATTCAACTTATCGTACAAACACGCAGCAACACCAGATATCACCAATCTCATGTCTCTGCAAGCTCTGAGCAACCTTAGTTGCACATAATCCGGGTAATACAAGTTCCTCATAATCACATATGCTAACTCCAGTTTGCATCGATCGCATGCCCGGATATCGGTTATCACTTTTAAACCTGCTAGAGTCATACCATTGAAGCAGTTAAGGAGTATGATAACTTTTGACCGTCTGTTATTTTGGGAGGCATTCTAACTCACATTAAAGTGCTTTCTATCAAATCTTCCGGATATTTATCCTGTTTTGAGCCCCAACTATAGGCATGGCAGCAATGAATGGCAGCAATGAACCACCACGAACCCCCGATAGATTCAAGAATATCCTAACGACAATGACACATGAACGGCTCATCCAAGATGTGCATGCACGAAGCGGTCCACGAACCGAAGCACGGCGTCACGATGACGGTACCGCGACTACTATACCCAGTCTGATGGCTCGCCCGTAGTTAACTATGTTTCTAATATTTCCCAAACAAGCGCGTCACCTATAAGACCGTTTCAGTCCGTTTAATTTATGCAAGGACTTAGCACAAAAAGATGGTCACTGCTTCTGTCTGCCTGTTCTGCTCACAAATCCAGTAGTTCGCCCTACGGCGGCTCGGTTTGTCGGTCAAGACAAACCTTGCCTTAAGCCAGACCTGACGTATGCTGACCATCATGAAAAACAAAAATACTGTCTAGCTGTGACGAACTCCTTGGCTTTGGCGGGACGCTTGCCGCAACCCTGGAAGAGTTTTCCATATGCAGGTTGCGAGTAGCCTCTCCAATTTGAGTTGGCGCCGACGTTATAGGCGTGTTTATTGTCTACGTCGTTTTGAGATTATTTTTAAATCCAATGCGTAAGAAAACACGCGAAGAAAGGAGCTTTTCAGTAAAATTTTCCTATTTCTCATAGAGACAATGCTCGAAGCCACCGACAGTCATTAAAATACCAAGTCCGCATCACGTGCATGTTTCGGCCGAGGCGTCAATCGTCTAAGAACATTTTGGGGTTTGTAGGACAAACTGACTGTTACTGAAAAAGGGTTTCTTACCGTGAGGCGCTCTGCCTGATGGTATATCGGATTTGGCTTGCAGGTTAGATGTGTCTGAGAGCTCGTACGTGGCACGCGTCGTCACCCGTAAAACCACACGTAGAATGTGGCTGTCCCTTTCGCGAATTTCTCGACGGTCAAAGTAATAAGTGGCGCACATCTCATACTCATGCATGAGGCATTTGCTGTGCTGAGAGACCTGCTGAATGACGTGCTCCGGGCTATCAGCATTATGCACGCGCCTCTTCCAACACCCATCGGTGTTCTTCAGGCGGTTATTGGTCACATATGCCAACATACGCTGTGCATGAAAGGCCCGCCCTCGAGTGGTGTAAGGCCGGTGGGTAGTCAAACAAGAGACAAACCTGAAGTCGGTTCTCCTCAGGATTTGTAAGTCCTGGCGGAACCTAAATTACGAATGTTCGTTGCAGTCACTTACTCAGCTGCGTTATCAAAGCAGTTAAGCAGTTTGCTGGTTGCGTTTGCAGAAGCTCTTCGTTGTATCTAGCAGGTAGCAAAGTGATCTGAGTAGATAAACGGGTGGGATCACGCTTTTGTTTAAACGGCCGGCCGAGACATGGCAAACGAAACGTGGGTCTTGGAACGCCGGGGGTCGCATAAACCTAACAAACGGTGATTTGATTTACCATTGATGGACTACATGTTCGTATCGTCCTTTGCGATTAGTGTCCAGGGTTCTGTTGCATGTGCTTAAAAAGCTCTGCATTGTTAGACAGCGATATCGTTTGCCGAATGCAAATTTACCAGGAATCGTGGAACCTACCATTGGCACGATAGGTTCTTCGCACTGATCCCTTCTACCATTGTCCGCGGCCATAACTTGGAGCCTTTCCAGCACCGGCGAGTGCTCGACCGTTCAGAAACTTTTTTATAGCGCGGTTGTCCTCATCTGGAACAAAATCTAAGCCGAGGATCCCCACGCCGTTTCCCGGAAAACCGAACACTTACCTCTCTTGCTTTGTGTGCCGAACTGCGATTGAAGTTGTGATCGCTATGGTTGCAGCCGCACATTCCAGAAACACACGGAATACCAGATCCCTTCAGTTCGATAATCTAGGGCCCACGGGTTCTCTGATCACAGGTTGCACATTACCATATTCCTGGAGCAGTGGTAACAGGCTCGCCCCGCATGTCCGGAGTTCAAAGCCCGGCATGGCCTTTGTATGTGCACTGCTGAAGAGCACTAATGAGAGCGAAGATCAGGTCCAGTGCTTCCCTTTGGTGTGGACGGTGCTCAGTATTTGCAAAATGGAATCGCACTGAATCCAGAACCTCAAACAAGGATTCTAAACCTCTGCCGTGCAGACTTCGCAGGAACGCACATCTGTCTTGAGCAAAACAAACTGGAACCACCCTGGGTGGAAGGCTTACATGGGTCCATTTTCAAGAAAGTTCACGAGGCTGAAGCAATGTTCGTCCAAAAGACCAACACGCAGTTGAGTGAACCGCAAGGTCCCTTGAAAGATTCGGTACCTTCTGGAAAAAAGGTCTCGACTATTCTTCAAAAAATTGATTACATGAGACACAGAAGCTGCGCTTGCATTTCGTCAAATGCGGAACCATTAAAAAGCAGAAATCCGCCAATGGTATACAGGAAAACAAGCCACCATTCTGGACCTCGCCCGAAAAAAGATAAATGTGCTGTCCAAGTACATGAGACATCGCCGCAAAAACCAGCCATTCGCGTTCTCCTTGAGGGACAGGAACGGAGGACCCACGAGTGATCCAACAGTGGCATCTGAGGTTTACAGAGAGCACTATGCAGGTCTATATTTAGCCCCAGCGTCCTCGTCACATCCACTCCTGTCAAGACGAAACTACGAACAGCCTCTAACCGACTTGGCCTTCACGGTGGAGGAAATTAATCAACTCTTGCACAAGACCAACCCATTCTGCGCGTTGGGGCCCGACGAGGTCCATCCAGGGATCCTGAAAGAAACGTCGTCAACACTGGAAAATCATTTTACCTGATTTTAGTAAATCGCTTAAGGAAGGCCGCCTTCCCTCTGCTTGGAAGGAAGCGATTGTCAAGCCAATCTACAAAACTGGTGACCGACTATCGCCTGGCATCTATAAGCCTGACTAGCGTGCCGTGCAAGGTGATGGAAGCTTTCTGAAGTAAGATATCCTAGATCATCTTGCATCCAACAACTTGATATCCCCAGTTCTACGCGGATTTCTCCCAAACCGTTGTTGCGTGACGAACGCCCATTTTTGTGGACAGCTTAAGGCAAGCAAGGACGAAGGATCCATATTGGATGCAATATTTTTTACCACTCAAAAGCATTTGATAGGGTCTCACACGTCCCGCTGCTCCACAAACTTGTGTCTTTCGGGATCCAAGGGAGAACCCCACGCTGGATCAATGCGTTCCTATCAGAGAGGTGAATCCTAGTAAAAATAGGTTCTACCTGCTCTCCTTCAGCGCCAGTTTCATTCGGAATTCTTCGAGGCTCGATATTTGGGCCGCTGCTGTTTCTGATATACGCCAACGACCGGTCAGATGTTCTTGCGAGACCATATCTACGTTTTGCTGGTGACTTGAAATCCTGGAGTTCCAATGCCGGTGCCTTGCAAGTGAATGTGGGCTCTACGAGGCAGTGGTGCTGGATTGGCACCTTCCTCTGAATGAAGAAAAGTGCGTATATGTCATTTGGAGGAGACTCAGCGAATGCCTTTTTCATGCATGGTGAGAAGGACCAGAAGATATCACGAGGATGGATGCCGAAGGGGACTTGGGTATCTGGCTCCCTTCAAAAATGTCCTTTTCACTGCACCATGAGAAACTGGCCTGAAATGTATCAGCCGTTCTACGGATGATTCGGCAAACCCCTCCAAGATTGCTGGAGCAGACTTCCAAGTACTTTATGGAGCCTCCCTCAGACGGCCCCTTGAATATGCCAACCAAGTTGTCTACTCAGGACGCACGAAAGACTTGACCCTCATTGAGCGTGTCCAGCGAGCTGTCAAGAAAACGATTGTCAGCCTCAAATCTGTGGACTATGAAACGCGTCTCGCGATGCTTGATCTCCTTCCTCTGGAGTATGGTCGCCTCCGTGGAAGCCTAATTCTGATGCCCTCTTTGAACAAGGTTTGGGTAACAAATTTCCACCATTGACCCAGCAAACACCCCTGAGACAAGGTGATAAGATTTTAAAAATTGGAGCGCACGCTTCCAAAAGGGAAAAATTCTCCTCTTCTAGGATAATGTCTGGGTGGGATAAGCTTCCTCCGGCGTTTGTCCGCGATCCTTTTGAGCCCAATTCAAAACAATGTTAGACACTTATTCATGCGAGTCCTCGCGCTTGCAAGCCTAAGGCCCCACGCTGAGAACTCAAAGGACGGTGGTATACCCGTTTTAATTCGTCTATTTCAGGTGAACGACAGCCGCCGAACGGCAAGAACAAAACCGACCTGGAGTCGATCCTGTGTATCAATCCGTGAACCCGTGATTTTATGATGGCTCGACGTGCTCATGCATCACTCCTCTCATTAGGCCTTGACAAAACCACTGGTGGAGCCCTGTTCCATCACGCCCTTGACACTCTGATCTTACGAACCAGGTCTATGATTCTGAATTTTTAGTCGTGTGCGTAATGACCTGCACCCACAGGATCCTCGGACTCATTGGTCGGAAATCCGAACCAATGAGCTTCGACCATTCGGACGAGTTCGTAGAGAGCCCCCGGTCCAAGGGCTTGTCTGGCTGTTTCCCCTGTTCCCCGGTCTGTCAACTCCTTCCCATGCAGAAGAACGATGTACTTGTTGATTTTTATCTTGCTACTGTGAAAGTTCAATCTCATGAATTTCATCTTTGCCATTCAAATTTATCTGAAGATGACTCAACGGTGAGTTATCATATATGCCTGTCGTCAGGCTCACTTTTCAGTGGTTTAATTAGGTAGATAATGATGCCACCCGAAGATATTCAGAGTGCATTTTCTCCGAAAGTCTCAAACACAACTGATACTTGGTCAACTGGGATCGTTTGGATCCGCGTCCAGGCGAATCCCACATTGCTTTAATTACAGCTGTAACTACGGCCGTGACGGAGAATGAAGTTCTAATGACAGCGGATGCTAGTGGCTGGGGAGGTTCTCGGGTTTTTCAGGCATTTGAAGCGTACCTGTGGTGATTGGTGGTGACTAACCGCACTGAGTCGTAGTCTTGAGGTGTGTCCTTGAGAGCTGACTAAAGACAACCTTCGATGCCTCTAGATGTCTGGACTCAAGAGCCAGTCGCCAATTCGGTGGTGAGACTGCTAAGATCAGGGACACGACAGTTCTGGCGAAGTAGCGCGGTTGGGTGGGCCAAGCACTCATACGTAAACGGATGTAGGATAAAAATGACTCAGTATGGAGCCGAACTCAACGAAGGTAAGGTTATCCTGGAATGGATCTGGTCATGCAGTGGGCCGCTGACGAATAAAGAGCAACGAGACTGGATTGGATTGCATTAGACTGGGGAAATTAGCCGTGATTCGCGAGAGTACAGTGTGCAACCGGTCGGCTGCACTTCTCCACTAGACATTTGCATATCTTCGTGCCATATGTGTACAAACTCGATTTTGTTTTGTAAAGGTGCGTAGACCACATTGCAAGATCACGCTAATCCAGGGGAATTGTTGGGTCAGTTAGTTGTGCCCCTGATATAAAAACGGCAGAATTCGCTGCCGCTGCAAGAAGTGCAGCACCAGTAGCTGTAGCTTTAGGGTACGTGAAAGATACATCTCTCTATGATCTGGATAAATGTTACGGCCTCCTGATCCTGATGCGACAGCATGCGTCAAAATTGTCCCCGAATCAAAGGACACCTGAACCCCACAGCTTTCTTCACATTTTTGAATTTTTCTAAGAACTCGTTCGTCGTGGGTCCTTATCCAAACTTTCTCAGTGTGAGCCTAAAGCAACAGGCACGCAAATTCGGTAGTTTAATTTGACCTGCTCTACACATCTAGACCACGAACACGGAAACGGAGCTCATCTTTAACTTAAAGCTACCGGCGACTGGACACTTGTGAGCGATGCTGCGTAGTTCGCAATCCTTAGAGTCCCTGAAAGGAGTGAAATATTCAGAATAAGTCGGCGAATGAATTAGATACCTAGATCAAGTGTGCAGAAATAAGCCAGACCAACGATCGTATACAATGTCTTGTTCTGTTAAGTGTCCGAGAACCGGTCCCCCCAGACATGAGTGAACGGCCACTTTGACACCATAAAGAAATGCTTCCGGAACGTCCTAATCGCCTAAGAGTGGCCTAAACCTCCCAAATGGAATGTTGAGTCGAAGGATATTATACCGACCATTCCTTTAACACCGCTGAATTTTGTGCTTGGGTGGACTAAAAAACCCTGATCTGCACCTCAACTACGAAGTCATTCTGTACGAACAGCCCACGATCACTTCCCGAGGTACCTAGCAACAGACTCGCAAAACGATGCACCAGCAGGCAAGTGGTGATTCATACACGATCTCTACTTACTTCTGGGACGGCCGCGAAAGTAAATGATGAGCATCGTTGCGCTCACTCTTGGAGGACAGAAAACTGGTTAAAACGGATGCAGGAGGACCAGAAAACACAGGAAAACACCGGATAACGGGTTTAACGGACCTGGTGAACTGGGGGCCCGGGTGACATAGGAAAATCTATCATGACTGTATCAGTAAATGACTGACTGCTCGTTACGTCCGAGTGAAAATCCGCTTTAGGAGTTTACTTGCTGGTCAGAGATGAGGTGTCTTACACAGCTTTGACTGACAAAATAGGTCACTTGGAGAGTTGATCGTGCCTTGTAAAACCCACTACGAGTAATTGGTTTCTTATCGACGGAACCCTGAGAACAACACTGGAGCGTAGCTTTGGTGAGTCTGTGGAACTTTACAGTGACCACCATTGCCTATTGGCATGGGCAAGGGGCAGGTGGTTCCGACAGAGACGTGAACACGTGTCCCAAGCCGTCACTGTCCCAACTTTTCCACGAACGTATGAGAACCATTCTAGATCATCCTCTGTCTATGGTTTTTCTTTTGCTCTTTTTACCCCAACCTCGAAGAGACTGGGCTTATCGTGGTGTGGCGGCTTGTGTACCTCTGTCATCCATTGAGCAATACCGGGGTTTTCAGTTTGACGCCCAGAGTCTCATACAAGGTTGGTCAGCGGATACATATCTGATGAACAGTCTCCTAGTCCTCCAAGTTGGGGTTGGAACTTCTGCGGTAGCTCGTTTCTTGAAAACTTGTAGTATGCCGACCATCACCGGATACCTTGCGTCAGGCTTTGAGCTAAAGGATTTAGTTGGAGGCTCTACTTGCATCTTGTCTTGTGGGTTCGGCAGTATCCGGGCCCATGTACAACCATGTACTTTAAGAACGAAAATACTCACGCCACCGTCGGTTGATGGTCGTAGGAAGAGAAAACTGGCTATAAGTGAATGAATTGCTTACGCTCCATGGGTTACGATAGTTAGGACATGTACCCCACGTGCCAGAAGACCATCTACCTCGCAAAGCTCTTTTTGCCCGGTTCTGTGATGAGTGGAAGCCATCAAGAGATCTATGGCCTGGCAATTAAATATGAAAACATCAGCCACTAAACTGAGTTGGGTCGCCCACATCTCCGTATGGGGACTCCGGGATTCAACTCACTGGTGATCAATGACTTTGGCAAAAAATGGAAGAACTGCTCAGTCAGTGGCGTTCTTGCATAAAAATTACCGCCCCAATTTTCAGCTACTCAGTTCCCGAACTAACTGAACATACCATCACCTTCAATGCTTGGCTGTCCCACACTCACTTTTCGATGATTGAATCTGTAGCAGCTGGAACTAATTTACTCATTGTACATGTTTTATAGCTCATTAGTTGATTGGCTGATTGCCAGCAGTCGAGTCGCCTTAATTGCTGCGTACGACGGGGCTGGTAATCGAAAATAACCTACTACTGACGCTTTCCTCCTTACACTAAGTATTCGTTTCTTTCTCCAGTCCCATCACAATGTAGGCACCAGCTCTGCAGCAGCGGAACTGAGATAGTGCCTATTGGCATGGGCAAGGGGCAGGTGGTTCCGACAGAGACGTGAACACGTGTCCCAAGCCGTCACTGTCCCAACTTTTCCACGAACGTATGAGAACCATTCTAGATCATCCTCTGTCTATGGTTTTTCTTTTGCTCTTTTTACCCCAACCTCGAAGAGACTGGGCTTATCGTGGTGTGGCGGCTTGTGTACCTCTGTCATCCATTGAGCAATACCGGGGTTTTCAGTTTGACGCCCAGAGTCTCATACAAGGTTGGTCAGCGGATACATATCTGATGAACAGTCTCCTAGTCCTCCGAGTTGGGGTTGGAACTTCTGCGGTAGCTCGTTTCTTGAAAACTTGTAGTATGCCGACCATCACCGGATACCTTGCGTCAGGCTTTGAGCTAAAGGATTTAGTTGGAGGCTCTACTTGCATCTTGTCTTGTGGGTTCGGCAGTATCCGGGCCCATGTACAACCATGTACTTTAAGAACGAAAATACTCACGCCACCGTCGGTTGATGGTCGTAGGAAGAGAAAACTGGCTATAAGTGAATGAATTGCTTACGCTCCATGGGTTACGATAGTTAGGACATGTACCCCACGTGCCAGAAGACCATCTACCTCGCAAAGCTCTTTTTGCCCGGTTCTGTGATGAGTGGAAGCCATCAAGAGATCTATGGCCTGGCAATTAAATATGAAAACATCAGCCACTAAACTGAGTTGGGTCGCCCACATCTCCGTATGGGGACTCCGGGATTCAACTCACTGGTGATCAATGACTTTGGCAAAAAATGGAAGAACTGCTCAGTCAGTGGCGTTCTTGCATAAAAATTACCGCCCCAATTTTCAGCTACTCAGTTCCCGAACTAACTGAACATACCATCACCTTCAATGCTTGGCTGTCCCACACTCACTTTTCGATGATTGAATCTGTAGCAGCTGGAACTAATTTACTCATTGTACATGTTTTATAGCTCATTAGTTGATTGGCTGATTGCCAGCAGTCGAGTCGCCTTAATTGCTGCGTACGACGGGGCTGGTAATCGAAAATAACCTACTACTGACGCTTTCCTCCTTACACTAAGTATTCGTTTCTTTCTCCAGTCCCATCACAATGTAGGCACCAGCTCTGCAGCAGCGGAACTGAGATAGTTCAGGTGTTCGACAATCGTTGCCTCAGGACCACAGCTCGTTTAAGTTGGTGTCGGGTAATCCGCAATGAGTCAGTTAGAAAGCGAGTTTTCGGTTGATAGCTTTTTTCGCTTCGCATCACCATTAGGGGCACATTCTGCACGCCGGTATTCAGTAACAACCGTAAACGCCTTGGTGTCAATTTTTTATCCCCGAAGGTCTGTTAGCGTAGCTGTCTTAAGTGTTCACGCTATGAAACAAGCTGGCCAACAAGTCGCTCGTGCTTGCACCTTGGACTTCCTTCGCAACAATATGTTGTTCCTCAGGAACAAGTATCCAATACTCGAGTTCTCTGATTGATATGACTGCCCCGGATGTCCACTGCAGTCTCTGGTAAGTGAAACTACTAAGAACCGCAATGGTTCTGATACGTAGCAAAGTAGGACGTTTGGAGCGTGAGACGTCTAGAGTGTATCCGAGCACGAGTTAGAACAGAGTCCGGGTTTCCGAGAATAAACGACGTTTTACTTGTTCAAGAACAAGCATGAATGAGCTGAAATGTACATACAAAGGTTCAATATGAGTATATAGGATAAGTATAATAATCACACACAAATCATGACATTCACCCTGACGTTGTTTGAATGGACACATAAGTGCTAACGTAGACAAGGGATGATGTACTAAGTCAGGCTTCTGTGTTCCTCAAACTGTAGGGATGAATGCGTCGCAGTTGTTCTAGAATTTCAGGATATTCGGTTAGTATTCGGGTGCCCGTACCGAAGAATGTTCAGATGCTTGAACGCTACCTGGCTGAAGTCCAGTTTCAGTCATATCTGGGTGTCCGGTGTCCCCATTGGATTCAGGTAGACTGAGAACATCGTCAGTTGTTTTCTGAACCGCCGGGGCTAAACGGCGATAAGACACGGTTTCGACTCTTCCGTCTCGATCGGCAATGTGTGCGTAGTGTGGTTGCAGGTCAGAAGGTCGAATTCTTCTATTAGTGGTTGGCACTTGGATGACCTATCATCTCGTTGCAGCAGAACTGGACTAGGGGTGGTCAACCAAGATAACAACGATGTCTCGAATGTTGACTGACGTGCGTATTGAAGCAAACGTTCGTGTAGAGTTCAGTTAGTCACCGTACATAGTAGGGTACCGTTGAGTCGTTCAATTGACCGTTACACTGGATTATGAGCCGATGTATGACTCATTGCAACACCTCCAGAAAAAAACTATCGATTCCGGACAACATGAACGATGAGCCTCTGTCGGAACGGATATAGGCTGGCCTTCCGAACAAGCAGAAGATTTGTGTGAGACAATCAGTCACAGTTGCTGAGGTTATATCCGCACACACAAATGCAAATAGGAATCCAGAGAACTCGTCAATCATTGTAAGTAGCGGTTGCGTGCATTGGATGGCAAAAGGTTGTGTTGCTTTAATGAGTCTACCAGAGGTTTTCCAGAATCTTGGCTTCAGTTCAGCACACACTTTGCAGGAGGAAATAACGCGCTTGACATCGTCGACGGAGTAGGAGAGATTCTCGCGACGCACAAAATGAAACATATGAGTAATGCCGGGATGGCAGAGGGAGCTATGGAGCTTTCCGAGTTGGTTATTGCTCCCCATGGAAGCGCATACGTTTCGTGACAGATTGTCTGCGACATGATTGTCATTGCCAGGTAGGTATATGACATCATAATTGCACTCGCACAGCTCAATTTTTCACCGTTGCATCCTGTCGTTTTTCACTCTACCCTTCTGTCCATCGCCGTACGTGAATGTGACTGAACGCTGGTGATCAGTCTGAAAGGTCTTCCGAGTCGATAGTGCCGCCATTTCCTGATGGATTCAACGATAGCGTAGGCTTCCTTCTTGATGACAGAGTGATTCTTCTCGTTC